CGGTCGCAATGGCATCGTACAAAATACCTTCCGCAGACACTGTCTGAGCCCTCCTGTCATTTTGGTCATACACTCTTCATACCTATCTGCAGCGAATGTGTATCTTTTGTATGGCGTTTGAGCAGTGCGACTACGGCTCAAAGGTTCGTCGCTTTTGAGATTACAAGAATATTCCAATCTACTCTAAATACACTCGGAGTATCTTTTCTTAGGATATTATTTGTCGCTTTAGAAAGGTCTCAACATAACACGCCTGGAAGCCGCGAAACGGGCCAACAGCGCGGTTCAAGGGCCATCCCTTATTACACTCGCCTGGAGGGAAGGAGCGGGGCCCTCGGCTGGGCGCGACCGGCGAGTCCCAGTGCCGGACACTTAGGCGTTAAATGGCCGGGCGTTCAGAGCGGGCCATCGGGACCGGGCCGGTCGTTAGCGTTTCGCGGAGAGGGGCCGCTTATTGGCCGCCCGTCCCCCGGGTTTTGCGACGCGGTCCCCGAAGGAGGGTCCGGCGGGCACCAGATGCTCGAGGGGATCGTCGAAGATCCGACTCGGTTCGCCGCTCGCTATACAGCCGAGGGTTGCCGAGGCGGCGAGGAGCGGCTGCCTCGGAGCTGGCGCCGGAGATCCGAGAAGCCCTCTTTTAAAGAAGTCGAGGATAACTTTCTTTTTTTTTTTTTTGCGCTCCATTTTTATGTGTGACTGCGAAGAACGTACGAAAGTTGTCAAACACAAAGATGTTGCTTGTCAACTTCTTGAACATCCGCGACTATGAACAAAAAGCGAATAACATGCAAGCATTGTGGTTGGCTGTCCAAGTTTTTAAAGCGTTAGCATTAGAAAGCTCGTTTTGACGAAACACTGGCGGTGCCTTTTCTTTGTCAGCGGCGTGGAGAAAGGGAGAAAGAGGGGGGAGAGATTGACGCGCGCCACGCTTCCATTGGTCCGAAGCGCTGACGTCAGCACGCGTCAACCTCTCCCTCTCTTCCCGGCGCTGACGAACTGACAGACACCGCCGGGTTTTTGTCAAAACGAGCTCTTACGGTTTCGTCAAACTCACGCGCACAGCTGGCTCGGAGCCAGAGTGTTTGAGTGATGTAAATAACGCTATCACATGCATATAAACAGGCAGAAGATGAAATGAAGGCGGACAGATTGTTATCATAACTAAGGAAAAGTAATGGACCTAAACCTGAACCCTGTCGAACACCGGAGTTATCGGGCGTTAATGAGGAAGTAGATTCATTGACAGTTACGAATTGTGAGCGATGAAGCACGACACATTCAATCCTGTTCTGTAAATTTGGGTCAATATTAAGCTTAATTAGTTTGAACGGCAATAACTGATGACTGACTTTATCAAGTGCTTTAAAAAAAATTGAGGAATAAACAGTCCGCCTGCGACCCACGGTCCAGAATGACATGTAGATTCTGAGTGAAAGACTAGAGTTGTGTTTCGCAGAAAAATGATTTATGAAAGCCATGTTGACATTGATTAAAAAAGGCGTTTGATTTGAGTAAGTTGGCAAGATGAGCGTGAACAACTTGTTCTAAAAAAATGCATGGTATACGCTTGTTAGGGAAATTGAACGGATGTTATTAGCTGAATGCTTAATTCCTCCCTTGTGCAGAGGAGCCACCTTCCCCAGTTTCCAGTCATCAGGAACTCATGATACACCAAAAGTTTGCGGAAATAGCTTAACCAAGATTATATTTTAGTACGTTTTAGGGCTTTTCATGAATTTAGAATTAATTTCGTTAATATCGGCGGACGAGGAAAGTTTAACTAAATCAATTAGTTTGGTTATGCAAACAGTATCAATTAGTATTGGAAACACTGAAAGGAAGTATTGTCTCTGGAAGTATGGAATTGGAGTGTTTCTAACCGGCCTAAAGAGAATTTGAAAATGTATTGCCTAACATGCTCGCGCAAACATCTCTAGGAACCACTTCGCCGTCCTCGTCCGTTATTCACACAGCATTACTCTCTTTCCTTGTTTCCGAAACCGCTTGGGGTTTTCCAACAGTACTAACGGTGATGTTTATGTGAAAGAAAAAAAGATAAGTTTAGCCTCACTAACAGCATTGTTGTAGCATTTGGCGGGAAGTTTGTAAACATCCCACCGACATCTGCATCACGATCCTTTAGCCGCATGAAACAAACGTTTACTTTTATTTGCTAGTATTTTTAGTGTTACGTTATACCAGGGTGACTGAAAATCAGATTTAATGACGCGGCAAGGAGTGTAGGTATATTGACAAGCCTAGTAGTGGTATTTTTAATCAAATACTTATTAGATTGCTCAGTGCGCTTATCAAAAGTTTGAAAAAAAAAATGGATTAATGAAACTGCAAACTTATTTATTAATAGCTGAAAAATCGCCATTACCCTAATTTGTAATAACCTTTGAATGTATTTATGGGCATGGGTGTTTTAATAGTGAAACATAAATGCAAAACTGGAATTTCGCCCGGTCGCTGAGAACGGGCAAATTTGATTGGCGCGTTTTAACGCGAATTTGATTTCCGCGTCTTAAAAGGAGACTTATTCGGTTCTGTATTTGAAAAAAAAAAAAAAAAAACTTCATTCGTCTTTATTTGGTGGCCTCCAGGATCACGAATATTAAGATATTACTATTATTTGTTTCTTTTTTATAATTTACCCGCAAACCAGTCGGCTCCAAATATTTCTCCGCGCGCAATTCACAGTCAACCCCAAACTGGCGCCGAAGCAGACGACCAAGCGTTCACCGAGATCATCGTTCGCGCTGCACAAGCACCACCTGGCCGTTAGGGTGCCTTCATGTGCGCTCTGCTTAGGGTGGAGACATCTCGCCATTTTGTCCCACACGTTTATTTTTCTTTTTTGTCCAGAAGCGCGTGAAAGAGCGTGTCCCTGCACGCGTTTGTGGCGCTGACTGTGCTATGGCGACATTTTGTCTTCGTCAATTTCTTTGTATTTTCCCCGTGAGCGCGTGCTGTCGGCATCGGGTACCACAAAGGGTGGCATCACCCTAAACAGAAGGACATTGAGGCACCCTACTGGCCGTGCTTGTTTTGCTTTTGCAAAGCAAGCTGATTTCATCGCTCGGGACACTCGTCCCGAGCGCTGGAATGTCCGCTCGTGCTTCTCGCGTTCCCCGGTCTACCGTTTCTTTTCTCGTCGGGTTTGAAAATCATGTTTCAGGTTTTCGACGCTGCAAAAGCAGTGCGCTGAATACCAGACTCCCTGAGAAATGCTCTGTACTACCAGATCCTCGCTCTCCAAATCTGCGACCGGGCACTTTATGGCTCCGCGTCATCGAACTGCCAGGCTTTGGAAGTAAATAGGAGGCTGTGTGACTGGGAGAGTTTGGCCTTTTTAAGGAGATTTTTACAGCCTGGCAACCACAGCCGCGTAGTCTGACAACCGGGGGATGGCTACTTCCGTCCGCCATTGTGTGGCTCTGACTCATAGGAACTCTATGCGACTTGTCAGGAAGAAAGAGGCGAAAGAAGTAACGCCATGTTGTATTATTCCGAAATCCGATGAGTCTAGCGGGCAGCAAGCTCCGCCCATTGTCGAAACTCTCTCGGTATAACAGGCTGTGACCAGAGGCTGCGACTGAGCCCCCTGGCGCCGGGAACGCTCTTTTGCCGCCCCCAGAAGGACGGGGCACCGCGAGCTTGCTGTTGCGCAGCTTTGCATCGGTCTCTCAAGACCGTCAAGACGGCAGGTTGGCTGCTTCCAGAACTCGCTCGTGGCGTGCGTCTCGAGAGTTTTCCTCAACAAAGATCTAGATTCCCGTAGCAATGTTACTTGACCGGTCTTCCTAAAACTCCTGGCGTCTCTGTGTGGCGGGTCCTCTCGCTGGTGCTCTATGCGCTATCAGCCCGCCGTGTGGACAGAAGTGGCGGAACCGGTGGAGCAATAGATGCACATGGCCTGCGGTGGAAAGTGTTTTTTTTTTTTTATGGTGAACAATGTGTTTACCATAAAAAAAAACAGGGAATCACTTTCCACCTCAAGCAATACGTATCCAAAGTTCCGCCTGTTTTTTCGCTTTCCCCGACTGACAGGGCTGACAGCGATCGCGAGTGTCACCATGCGAAAAGGCTGGGAATAGGCGCCAGGAGTTCCAAGAAGCTTCTCAACTGACTTTGATCCAGTAACGTTGGTTGACGTTAGATCAGCTGCCGTTGTGGTGGTCCTGCTGCTGAGCGCCTACCTTCTGCATGCATTCGTCCCGTCATTCTCATCAAGAACAAAGGACAGCCGGCATGGTCAGATGACCTCACGTGTGAGCCTTGTATCTACAAAACGCATCTGCTTAGCGCACGAATTTACGCCTCAGCGTTTCTTTTTATTCAGTGGCCTCAAAAGGACTTGCTCGCGAACAAGCGGCCGTGCGGTACCGGGTGCCCAGGTCGCCGACAGATTCCAGTGCGCTTTGCCGGCGTACAAAAGTCGGTGTGTGTGGCGCTAGTGAGAACATGGCGTAAGAGAGGTGAAGCGTGAATTACGCTTGTAGGACGCAGAGTATCCAATCAAAATGGGACCACAAATCAAAAATAAAAGGCCTTTCTCTTTTTTTTTTTTTTTTTGCGAGCCGCGGAATTGTGATTTAAAACTTTCACTTCATTTTATTTTGTTTTGGAGTGAAACGCAGTAATAGTCTTCGCGGAGAGAATAAAATCAGGCTTGTGGAACGTGCGTTGCAAAAAGCATTGTAAAGTCTATGCATATGTTTAGCACACTGGGACAGCTGACTTTAGTCAAATACCCCAGTGTGATTACTACGTCCTGATGTGCGTAACCCGGCCGCATACCCAAAACAGGCTCCGAGTTTTTTTTGTTCCACGCAATTTATAAACACTCTTGAGCTTCACTCTTCTAATATTTCTTAACGTGCGTATATTGTCCAATTCAAACTGCTATGAACCGCCATTTGTTTTCCCCCAAACCAAGACCGGAAGGAGAAACATTGGGGTTCGATCCACCCGGAAGGAACGAGCAGAGAGCGGCGTTCAGAGTCTTGACGATGGAATGGATTTATTAAACCGCGAGGCACTGTTGCGTAGGCGGTGATACAGTGTCTGTTCACAGGGGAATGTCTTTCGGCACTCTTGTCGCACTCGCGAACCATCACAGCACAGGGAAGGCGGACGTCCTTCGCGCTCTCTGCTCCAAGGGACGCCGTCCAGCGACACAAACCGACCAGGGCAATGGGAAGGCCAGAGGAAACGCTGCTCGCTGGCTCCTCAGTCGCAGAAGAAGAAATGTAATGTGCGGCTGATCATTTTTTTGTACACTCTCCCAAGTTCGAGTCTCTACCTCCCTCACTCTTTGTTAAAAGAAATATAAATTCGACAAAAATAATAATAAAAAAATAAGTTTACTTTTGGTGAATTGCATGCTTTATATCTTCCTACCATCATTAAAAATGAAAATGGAAAAAAAAAATATTTCACAATGCAAAGCAGATTGTGAATGGAGAGCACATTTTCGCTAGTCTTCTGCCAATAATCCAAGTATCCCGCTTAACAGGGCCAGAGTGTGGACACTTCCGAAGTATTTAATACTAGCGAAACGCACTATTTCACCTAGATTCCACTTTCCGGTTCCTTTTTCGTCTATTTATTATACCGTGTCTTAAGTAGACATGTGACTACAAAGACGTGGAGGCAATCTTCGAGACGATCCGACGACTAATCCAGTCGGCATTTTTTGGTATTAATTATTTTGACGAAGAACTTTATGAGTGAGCGGCAGCTATTCCTCTCAAGACCCCGTTCAGAACGCGGAAGGTTGGAACGGTCCAGCAAACAAATGGTCCAACCCAAAAGCACGTCCTTTAAAACAGGACGTTGACAACGTTACAAATAAGATGCCTTTCATTAAATAAATTGAGCTTCGTATGTCTTCTGGATATCGCAAAGTACGTTCTTCAGCCTATCTAAGCACTGCGCAAGAAGTTTGACGTGTCTAGAATGGCACTCCAATTACACCTGGCGGTTTTGCCACTGGACGAGCCACGAGCATCACGAACACCCCTTGACTTCTCGGAGGATGCGTGTATTGACTTGACCACGGACTCTCTCGCTGGCTTGCCAAATGACTTGTACGTTGAGTCATCTGTTGACTCGTCACTTAACTTGTCCATCGACTTGTTCATTCTGGTTTGGATGTTGGCTCGTCCGTTGGCTTGTTCGTTGACTTGTCGATTGACTTGTCCATGGGTACGTCCGTTGACTTGTCCGTTCAGTTGTCCATTGGCACATCCATTGACTGGTTCGTTGACTTGTCCGTTGACTTGTCCGTTGGTACGTCCGTTGAATTGTTCGTTGACTCGACCGTGGGCTTGTTCGCTGACTCGTCTCCTGCTTACGGCCTGCCGGGAAGTCCGTTCGCGCCACGGATGTCCGTGGACGCCGCCGCACGACTCGCCGCTCCTCCTCGACGACTTGGCTCGCGATGCGCACACACTGTCTGAGCATCAAAAGTAGCCGAGGCGTTGTGGCACCGATGCTCGGCCGTTGGTGTGGTCGGAGGAGTCCGGCGGCGCCCACTGAATCCGAGGCCAATAGCTGGACGCCAGGTCGCCGCTGCCGTGGCCGGGCACTTGGACGGGCACCGAGACGCCCGGGGAGATGAGGCCTGGAAGCGGAGGACGCCACACCACGCATTGAGGGACGCTCTCGACCGACCAGGAGCGGGAAACCAGAACGCTGTCTATATGTCAGGTTAAGAGACAGACATGGCGAGGAGAGTACGAGGTGGCCATGAAATTGACAACGAGGCAAAGAAGGGCGGTGATCGTGCTTCGAATCGACACGATGATTTGAATGAATCGTGGCTTAAGTGCAGGTTGGTGCTTGCACTCTGGGGATAAGACAATATTCTGGTGTATATCAATCGCCTCTAAAGAGACGCGTTTGTGTTTTGAGAAACCAGCTTTGGGACTCGGGTGAGGTAATGATCCCTTGGTAAGATGTAAGTTTATCGATAGCTCCAATGAGACATTGGCGGCGGGCTATGACTCGTCTGCGAAGAGAGTTCACGGACTGCTCACCCAGAGGGATTGAGCCCTTGGTCGGATATGTCCCCAGATGCTTGCACCAGTAGTAGTAGTAGTAGTATGCGTTTTGGGGAGGGGGGTTGGGAAGCCGACTGTTGTTGGGGCGTACTTAGACGCCCATGTCACAGTCGGAGGGGAAGGGTTCTTGGGAAATAAAGAGGGGAAAAGGGGGAGTAGAAAGGGGGAGATTGGGATTTTTCTAGTCTTTCTCTAACCGTCGAAGTCTAATTTGAAGGCGGTACCGCTTGTTTGTTTATTGAATTAACGTTAAACCTTTTGCCGAACGAAGAGCTCGGGACAAAGGACTTTCGGGTGCTACACAGCGCTAAGAAAATAAATGAAGACTCGTTGCACCAGCCAGCTCTCACGTCATCAGCCTCAGGTAGACGCGTATCCACGGAGGCAAACTGTTGTATGTTGCAACGAAGGAACTGCGGAAGAAGGTCGACCCCCAATTTCCGGAAAGAAATGGCGCGCGAACACGTCATTTTTCTCTCTCAGGTTTACCCAAATGTTCAATATTACCCAGCAAGCCTGCACCCTCACCAAGGCTACAATATCCGCAGTGTCGTTTATTCCAAACTAGCGGTAATAAAACCAAAGCTCTACCTCATGCCCAACGCGGCTTGGCGTATTAAACATAAAAATGCTATATTTTTTTTTTATTGTTGTTTTTTTGCAAGTGAGGTTGGAGTTTTTTCTGGCGTCCCTCAGGTTGCGGAAAACTACGAGCACGGTGCCTCGAACGCGTCTCCGACTGGTGTGTTTAGCGCCCTATTCCGCCCATATACAGAGGGTAGTCTCCACGTGTCAACAAATAACGTCGACAAAGCCGGAGTGTCACGCTGTCGGATGTTGCGATCCTGGCGGTTGGGCGTAGAAGTTTTGGGGGGAAAAAAGCACGGGGGAACGCGAGTGTCGCTGCCATCGCGGCGTCCCAACTCCGACTGCCGAAGCTTCCGTGAACTGCCAAGCTGAAGAGCGACCCGCAGCTGAACAGGCGTCTGCCGCATTCACCACCGCTGCTGTGACGCCGCCAGGATCGCGGCCGGCGACAACATGATACTTCTCTGACGTCATCGGGCGTGAATTGAGGGACCAGTTTTTTGGACGCGGGAAACACACCAGTCGGAGAGGCATAGCAGGCAGCATAGTGTGCCCTCGCCTCTTCACTATACGCGTAGCAGTGGCGAGGAGAGGCTCACCCGTGGAACCGGCGCCCGCGGCCAGTTGCGCGTTGAGGTGGGGCGGCCTCGCGGGGTAGCCGCTGAGTCCCTCGTACGGAGACCTGGTGGCGGGCCCCGAAGCCGCCAGCACGCAGGGCGCGTACGGCGAAGACGCCCCGTGCTGCTGCTGCTGCTGCTGCTGCTGCAGGCAGGAGGCCGCCGCGGCGGCCGCGTAGCCCGCGGGCGAGCCGTACGGGTCCGGGCCTCCGCAGGACGGCGGCCCGTGCAGGGACGGGTACAGGGGACTCGCGTAGCCCGGGCTCGGCCGCGGCGGACTGTTGGCCCCGCTGTCGCGCCGCTGACTGCGCAGCTTCTCCTCGCGCCGCCACTTGGCGCGCCGGTTCGAAAACCACACCTGCGGGGCCAGAGGCTGCGCATCAGGGCACGCGACTTGGGCTCACGTCCTCTTAATACGTTCATATACAGGCAATTGCAAGTATGGCACCCCGACTGGTGCCCCATAAGTGCAAGCACGTGTAGCTCGCGCGTGAACATAGCTCTAGCAAGCTTGAAATTGCGCGGGCTTGTACGCACGAGCGGTGGCCGGTGGCCTTGCTTTGCAATCGTCTATACGACGGCGACTATACGGCGAGCAAGTTTGTCTGCTCTTTACGCACCACGTGCGGTTGTTTTCCCGCCAATTGCGTCCACGTGCTTTTGACTTCCCCCTACTCGACCCAGTAATGGCGTGGGCATGGCGGCATCACTGGCAACAAGCACAACGTTGGCAGGTGGCGTGTGACGTCAAGTGTGACGAGCAGCGACGTCACAGAAAAGCAGGAGGCGAGGAGGAAAGCCGTGATGCTTGCAAGGTTGTGTCCAAACACAGAACGGACTGCCGGACTTCAATTTTCGCTTTACATGGCGAAGAAGTGTCGCCTCACTCGTTCTAAAGCATATCTGTTTGGAGTCTGGACACCGCTTAAAAGCCTGTCCAAACAGGACACTTAAGAACTCGTGAAGCGACACGACTCCGGCAAAAATCGTGGAAGTTGAAGCTTCCGGCCCAGTCCGATGTCTGCTTGAACTCCACGAAGCCAACATCACGATTTTCCTCCTCGCTTTCTCTGCTTTTCGGTAACCTCGGTGCCCGTCAGGCTTGACGTCATATGCCACCTGTCAATGCTGTGTACCTGTTCTGCGGGCCCTCGTAACCTTGGTGTCGTGCTCCAAACATTTACTCCATCTTTCTCCAGGGTAAGGGTTTTGTACCTTTGCGTTCGAAAACCTACCCGCGTCCAGCGTCGCTCTGTTTCATCACGTGACACGACCCAGCGGAGAAGCTCGGATCTATTTGTGTAACATTTCGAACACAGCCCTTCTCTTTGCCGTTTTCGGTACCTGAAGAGTAGCGGAGGCCTTGAGCGATTGACACGACAGTCGACAGAGCTGGTGAGTGGCTGTCCGAACCCACGTAATGAGTATGAAGGACACGGGCGAAATTTCACAAAAAAAAAAAAACTTTCTCCCCCGGGAAAAAAAAAAAAAAATGGACGGAAGCGGATTGCTGTTTGAATTATGTCAGAGTCGTGTCGACTCACAATTTTTGAAGTGTCCTGTTTGGACGGGCCTTTAGCCGACAGGGTCTCCGCCGTCCAGACATTGCAAATATATATATATATATATAAAAAAAAACACAAAGAAAAAGTATTGTTTCTATGGCACCCTGTTGCGCTCTTTCCGCTTGGAGCGCCTCTCTGACCTTGATGGACGCCAGCTTGAAAACAACGTCAGGGATCTCTCCGCTTCAGCGCATTCACAAAACTGTTATTGCCGCCGTTCAGGCACGAAATTGGGGTCAATGACGAAGCTGTGTCTAAGAGACATACGTGGCGCAAGAGCCAAGTTCTACGTTACATGGCGCAAGAGCCAAGTTCTACGTTACATGGCGCAAGAGCCAAGTTCTACGTTACATGGCGCAAGAGCTCTACGTTACATGGCGCAAGTGCCAAGTTCTACGTTACATAGCGCACCCAGAAAACGACCTTAAAGGGGCCATGCAACAATATTCGCTTTGAATTATTTTTCACTGTAAACGAGTTTACTGACACTAGTGGGACCCAAGTATACTCATATGGAACGCCACTGACCAAGAAACTTGTCATGGTATAATTTGAAGGACAAAAACGAGCGTTTTCGTTCAATCTCTCCTTCGTAAAACTTGATGACGTGGTTGGGCGGTCGCAGTACCACCCAGTGACGAGATTTAAATGCGGCTCATAGATTGGACCCGAGCATTGCGTGGGCACTTGGTTCGGGTACGTGATGATCAATAGCTGGACAAGCATTCGGGTAGTGGCCCGTGTCCAATCGTTGCAATGACGACAATAGCCAAACCCTAAAAATGTCTGGAACTCAGCTCGCGTCCTCTGCCTTGCCAACCCCAGCGCGCAGGTATGATCAACATCGGTGACATATAATCGGCTCCAGATCATGTGGCTGCTTGTTCTGGCTGCGGGTTGAGAGGGTGAACGCCGCTCACTTTTTTACATTTTTTTCTCTTGACTTTCATTGCGTGTAATGAAAAACGAGCGCGTTTTTTATAGGTCATTGATGTCAGGGATTCGTCCACAGCGGTATTTGCGCCAAGTACAAATTGTTGCATCGCCTCTTTAAAAACAAGCATGTCTCCTATAGAGAAGCAGGGAAACCGGGCCGGCGACAGGCTGCCATTAGCAGCGTATCAAAGAGCCATCTGGTGGCGCCGCGCTTGCAACCAAGGCAAGGAGAGGACTTTATCTGGCAGCTGCGACGAGCAAGATGTCCACATATATATATTACACAATGGCACAAATACTGAGAGACTGATTTAGTACTTGGAATCTTGAAGGAAATTAGTGCAGAAGACAGAAAACTTTGAGTACGGCACGCAAAGTGCAAACATGCTCAAATCAGTTCGAAACCGCGCCGCTCATTTCATTCTTTCACATTAGTATTATTGTACTAAAGGCGTTTCATCTATGAAATTAAGCGTGAACTTACCTTGTACCTAGCCTTACGTCGCAAATATGTTTTGTCTCTGTCTCTTTTATAAAATTTATTATTCTAAACCGATTCGAAAACATCATCTATTTTTATTTAGACAAGATACTCAAAGAAATGTACAGTTGTCTGGGAGCCATCGCAAAAGGCAATGAATAAATGTTTTCTTCGCGCACCATATGTGTGATCTCGCACCAATGATCAGTTTATAAGATTGGAACGCCAGCATGTCGCACAGACATTTCTTTTGACTCCTTTATCCCGAAACCAACAAACGACTAGAACGTGCACCTCCCTGCTCCATCGCACTCATCTCTAAAGCAACCTATTTAAAAACAACACGCCAAGGATTTTATATGTTAACCCCATTCCTCTCTGTAATATCTCCGGGCCTCGAGGGTATCAAAATAAAAAAATCATTAAATAAATAGAGGCTGCGAGGAACACTGCCACTTTGGTTCGGTCTTTGCGATGTCTCGGCTCTGCCTACGGGCTTACCTCACATCTACTCTTGTCCCCCAAACACTTACTAACAAAAATATAAAGAAATGGTGTGTGTGTTTAGAGTAAAGGGGAGTGCTCACCTGAATCCGGGCCTCGGGCAGGTCGATTTTGGCGGCCAGCCTCTCCCTGGCGAACACGTCCGGGTAGTGGGTACGCTCGAACTCTGCACAGGGGTGGCACAGGCAGGCGTTCGTCATTCGGGCCACCGGGCGGTTGAATGGATGGATAATAACGGCTATGCCGTCTGTAATGGGCGGCAGCTTGCGCCATCTAGCCTACCACGCGTCACTCGCGTGCAATGTTGTACACATTCCTCCAAAACAGGAACAAAAGCTCGTTTTTCCTTCCTTCTCAATCCCGGAACAAGTTCCCGTTACAAGTTCCGTAAGTTCGAAAGGAACCCGTTCTCGTTACGTTTCTAAGTTTGGAAGAGGTCGTTACCATAACTTTGCGTTTACGTAGATTAAAAAAAAAATATTTTGCCGAAGAACTTGTAAATAAAATAAAGCGAGCAGGTGAAACCGTCCACATCGAGCTACGTGTCAAATCGCCACAATCATTCTTGTCTCAAGTTCTTTGTTTTCGACCATCACTCGGATACTTCAACACCCCCTGAAATCAGAGGTTGAAACAGCCGTTAAGAAGAATGCCAATATGACTAGTACTAAATTCGAATAAACTTGCGAAAAAAAAAAAACAAAAAAAAAAAACACCTTTCCTCCTGCGCTCAAAAAACGTTCCGAGTTCCCCTTCCAGTTCCGCCTCTACGAGATAAAAAGTTTCTTCGTTCCTCCTGCAAGTAACGCGTTGCAGGAACGTCGTTCCTAGGAACGACGTTGCGTACAACACTGTTCGCGTGTGCTGTGACAAGTCGGCAGGGACACATGTTACAATCACGAAAAATGCTTTGCTCCGACAAAGTGAGGGAGAAGAGGAAGCGAGAGCGAGCGCTGATGTCAGAAGGCCGAGCTCTGATTGGAAGGATTAGTGGGTAGACCTAGAGCCATAGCTATCTTTGTCTCCACTGCACTCGTGGAACGCGTCAAAAGTGAAAACCGAACGTGCCGTTACTTATATTACGTATTAATTGGGACCAGTGCTGATTGTTGGGCAAGTTGGTATGGTACGTTAGAAAACATGGTTGCGCTTTGAAGACAGGGACATAGAAAGAACAGACGCTACAGAGCGCTAGCGCTCTGTGGTGTCTTTTCTTCCTATGTCCCTGTCTTCAAAGCGCAATCATGTTTTCTAATTAGAACCGTCTCATGACACCATTGCGACGTAGACAAGATACAGTTGTCTGGGGGCCATTGCACAAGGCAATGGATACACAATTACTCCGACCATTAAAGGGACCATGAAATGTATTTTTGGCTGGAATAGATGATTTTAGATTGGGATTTTAGGTTCGTGGACCGAAAGAAAGAGGCTAAAAAGTCGAAAGCCTGCTTTTCGGTACGAAATATTGAAAAATATAGCGGACTATTTCGTGTGCCTCCTTTCCTTCGAAAGCTCTCCGTCTTTTCACTGTGATGCATCCGCGTGGCTCAAACATGTCTGCCGAACCCTGCTTACACATTGGACACGATCACTGCGTCACTCGGACGTATGAGCTTGTCAACGATCCATCCGAAGACGAATATCTGGATTCGCGTTTTTTGGCCAACGAGTGCTGTGAAAGCACTAGTCACTCACGAATTGAACATTATGTGGTATGCTTACAAAGCACGGTCGAAGCTTGAAGTCGTCGCATTCGGTGCCCAAGCACGGAACGACCGCGTGATTTCTTATTTCGCTTTTGAAGTAAGGATGAAAGCTTAAGGTGGAAGATGTAGTAAAATAATTTCATGGTTCCTTTAATGTTAGCGCGTTACTCGACGGTTGCGAAAAAAAAAAAAAAACACCCGCAGCGATTTCCAAGTAAATTGTTCCATTGGCTTTCATTACTAAAAAAACAAGGTGCAATATTTATAAATGGATATACATCCGGGGTTGGGGGCGTACGAAACGTGCAGCGTAACGCCGCAGATCGCATTTCGGGGTCAGGGCCTCGCGTTAAGTGTAGTCATTCGCTTCCGACTGGATTGCAACGGTCGGTGCCCAGTCACTACAAGTCCGCACCGGTTTCGGAGAGCGCGCACCGCCCACCTTTTTCGAGCGCCTCGATCTGCTCCATGCTGAAGGAAGTCCGGTTCCGCTGTAGTTTCCGTTTCAACCTCAACCTTGCAGCCGCTTCGTCGTCACCACTCTCCTGGGATTCCGGGTCCAACTCTGAACATGCAAATTGAAGAAGAAGAAATATGTTGTGCAATTATTATAGATTCTGCAGGTCACTCTCCAGATGCCCACGCTCCCTTATGCTTCATTCGCCCTTGATTCAACGCGTATTCAAAGGCTAAAAGCGTTAGGTCACGCTGCATTCTGGTGCTCGATTGTATAGCGACGATATACGCATGCAGGGTAAAGCGACGAAGTTCGAAAAAAGGCGCTTTTGGTGCGGATTTGTGGGTGACCTATTGGCGCGACCGTGGGCAGTGGGCTCTGACCCACGGTGGCACGGAGGATAGGATTTCCTCAAAACGACTCATCGGATGCCCAGCGATCGTCGGGTTATTGCTGCGCGCCTGGTGAGGTCACGGTGTCTTCCGATACAGGTTTCGTCGAGGAGGAATATCCGCTTGAGAAGAAACGAAACGCAATAAAAATGGCGAGGGCGGCACCTGCAGGTCCTGTCCTTCTTGCTGCTTTTCGTTTGTTCTTTCGAGTCCCGCTGGAGCGACAAACAGAAGCAACCGACACCTATGAGCCTCATACACGTGCAGCACGCGCTGAAAAGTGCTTGCAGGCTTGCAGTGTCCACATGCTCGTGGAATAAGCGCGAGTGATTGCAAGCCTGCCAAACGCACTTCCGGGCGCACCTTGAACTTCGAAGCTTGTCGGTGTCGGGTGCTTCTGTTTGTCACCTTAGTAAGGCTCGCACCTTAAAACCAGGGTAAAAAATACTCATTATATTTTTTTTTTTAGAAAAATCAAATAAACCAGGTTTATTTGATTTAAATCATACTGTGATTTCTATAACTGTATTTATTAAGGTGGCTTTGTTTTTGTTTTTGCTAGAAGTTTTTTGGAATTGTCAGATAGATTCTTCAATCTGCTCGATCGCTGAAAACAATAAAAAAAGTATTCTCTGCAAATCTAATTATAATGTTAAATCCACTAACGTATATGCCCTTTACAATACAATAATTGACGAACAAGTGGAGGGCAAAAAGAAGATGCACTGGGTCCGATTTGCCCGGGAGAGCACCGCCTTTTGCTCGCGTTCAGCATAATACCTTTCTTATTCGATGATTATTAATGCGACAGCATTCTTGAGCTAGTTCACTCGGTTTTCGCGATACGGAATCTGACCTCGAATGCGTCGTGCATAGATGCGCGGCACGCGTATGCGGAGGAGCCGCGCGGCGGCGCGGCATGCGCAGTACTGTTGTAAGTTGGGCGTGCTGGTATGATGTTCATCATACCAACTCGTTCATCATGCGCAGTACATCCGCATACGAACGACGTCGTACACATACACGGGCGCCGTGCCTATGCGGACGTCGTCCTTGAGGTCATCCTTGTGATCGCCCTAGATGACTTTTTGGAGGTCGATGCAGGCGTCGTCTTCGACGTCATCCTCTAGGACGTCGTCCTCGACGTGGTTCTTAAGGTCGTCCTAGAGGGTGTCCTAAAGGTACGTCCTAGAGGTCGTCCTTGAGGTCATCCCATGTGATCGCCCTAGATGACTTTTTGGAGGTCGATGCAGGCGTCGTCTTCGACGTCATCCTCTAGGACGTCGTCCTCGACGTGGTTCTTAAGGTCGTCCTAGAGGGTGTCCTAAAGGTACGTCCTAGAGGTCGTCCTTGAGGTCATCCCATGTGATCGCCCTAGATGACTTTTTGGAGGTCGATGCAGGCGTCGTCTTCGACGTCATCCTCTAGGACGTCGTCCTCGACGTGGTTCTTAAGGTCGTCCTAGAGGGTGTCCTAAAGGTACGTCCTAGAGGTCGTCCTTGAGGTCATCCCATGTGATCGCCCTAGATGACTTTTTGGAGGTCGATGCAGGCGTCGTCTTCGACGTCAATTTCTAGGACGTCGTCCTCGACGTGGTTCTTAAGGTCGTCCTAGAGGGTGTCCTAAAGGTACGTCCTAGAGGTCGTCCTTGAGGTCATCCCATGAGATCGCCCTAGATGACTTTTTGGAGGTCGATGCAGGCGTCGTCTTCGACGTCATCCTCTAGGACGTCGTCCTCGACGTGGTTCTTAAGGTCGTCCTAGAGGGTGTCCTAAAGGTACGTCCTAGAGGTCGTCCTTGAGGTCATCCCATGTGATCGCCCTAGATGACTTTTTGGAGGTCGATGCAGGCGTCGTCTTCGACGTCATTCTCTAGGACGTCGTCCTCGACGTGGTTCTTAAGGTCGTCCTAGAGGGTGTCCTAAAGGTACGTCCTAGAGGTCGTCCTTGAGGTCATCCCATGTGATCGACCTAGATGACTTTTTGGAGGTCGATGCAGGCGTCGTCTTCGACGTCATCCTCTAGGATGTCGTCCTCGACGTGGTTCTTAAGGTCGTCCTAGAGGGTGTCCTAAAGGTACGTCCTAGAGGTCGTCCTTGAGGTCATCCTTGTGATCGCCCTAGATGACTTTTTGGAGGTCGTTGCAGGCGTCGTCTTCGACGTCATCCTCTAGGACGTCGTCCTCGACGTGGTTCTTAAGGTCGTCCTAGAGGGCGTCCTAAAGGTACGTCCTAGAGGTCGTCCTTGAGGTCATCCTTGTGATCGCAATAGATGACTTTTTGGAGGTCGTTGCAGGCGTCGTCTTCGACGTCATCCTCTAGGACGTCGTCCTCGACGTGGTTCTTAAGGTCGTCCTAGAAGGCGTCCTAAAGGTACGTCCTAGAGGTCGCTCTCGAGATCGCCTAGAGGTCGTTCTAGATGTCGTCTTTGACGTCTTCCTTAGGACGTCTACTTGAAGTCGTCTTAGAGGTCGTCCTTAAGATTGCCCTTCACGTCGTCCTTTAGGGCGTTCTCCTCGACGTTGTCTTAACAAGGAGATAAAGTCGCGCCGCACGTACACGGAGCGGCAGTACACACACATTCACATCTGCGCCCAAGCTACGAAACAATTGTCGCTTTGAGTTGAGCTAGTTGATACATGGTCAATGATGGCGGTGAAACACCTTGAACATTAATTGATTACACGGGGACATGACAAGACACACACACGAGGTTGCACTGATGGTGGGGGAAACAGTTTCAACATTAAACGATTACACGGAGATGAAAGATTAAGCGACTAGGAGGCAGAGACAAAACAATCACTCGATTTCAAAGTGGCGCGCTACAATCACGCTGAAGTAAATGATGGCGTCGTAAACCACTATTCAAATTACGTGTTTACTCAAACTTTGCGTCGCCGTATTCACAGTGAGCTGCGTCGTGAACCTCATGGCGAATGCTATCGTAATTCATAGACAACCAACAATAACGGTTTCTGCAGTCAATATTTTGATTTAGATACAAAACAAAGTTATGTATATGGAAGGCAACAGATAATAAACAAACATTACGTGAAAAAATGGGGATTCTTTTTGCGGGAAAGGTTTGATCTAACTCGTTATAGTAAAACCAATGTGATTTAAATCTTTATTTTTTTAACGACATAAATCATCTTGATTTTTATTCTCCATCCTGCTAAGAGCAGTTGGCTCTAATTGGTCGAGAAAATCTACCCATAGTCCTCCTCTTCCAAACCGCGGAGGCATAGTGAAGGAGGTTAAGAGACTAACAGCAGGGCAACCGGGAAGGGCATTAGGCTTTCGGGGTAGGAAGAAATGGGACAGGAGAAAACAGGCAGAAGCGGAAGGCTCGAAATCTGCAAGTGCGACGGTTAGCACGGGTGGAAGTGTCCCAAACCAGCTCACTGTCATGAACGCAAGATGGACCTTGTTTACAGTGGAGCTGTTAAGGGCTAGTTTCCCTATACTTTGTCTCATCCTACGATGGACTAAAGGTCAAAGCCACGGGTCGCCAGGTCCAATCACGTTCCACGCTATACTATGACACGCTTAATATTGATTAGGGGTGGACGAATAATGCTCGAATTCAAAAGCGCCACATCATTGCTATACCTTCGACGCTCCAAAGAGCCTATATGTCGTGGCTTTCTTTGCGATGTGAAATTGTTGAGTCACTCAGTGCTCTTCGATTCGAACCACTGTCCACCCGTCTTCTCATCAGTGATCCGAGACGTGGGCACCGATTCGTGCATCGAAGCGAAATACAGCACAACTTCTATGTGGCCCGTGATTGGATCTGGCGGTCCGTAGCTTTTGCCTTTAGCCCATCGTAGGGCGAGACGAAGTATAGTATCGCGTCCGTGAGCAAAGAAATCTCGACACAAAACTCTGGACAGCTACCGCCATCTATTAACGACGGCGGCAACCAGACAATGGGCTTGCCGGTTGTCTGGTTGCCGCCGTCGCTCATAGATTGCGGAAATTTTTCCAGCCTTCCCACTCTGCCTTGCCGACTTGCGGCCGGTCATTACTTGATTCCCACCATAGTACAGCTTCGCTGGTCTTCCACCTTCACCAAAGTAAAAAAACTAAGAGTTTTTTTAATTATTATTGTGTTAACTGATATCCTTATCGTCTATTGAAACAAGGTATGTACACGTTAGTGGAAAGAAACACACACAAAACTTTACTTTTTCCTTGCTCAAAAAAACTGGTTAGTGAGATTAAAAAGAACGCGTTAAGTCAGGTAAAAATTTGCTTTTTACTTTCTCGTTACACTGATTTTATTTTTGTCTAAAGCAGTAATTGTATTCTAATATGTTGTGTCGTTAATAGTCTGGTGCGAATATTCTAAACTTCTAATAATAGTTTCGAATAATACACTATCCGATATAAGCTTCCAGATGAACTGCGATGTTCGTATTGTGCGAAGTGTTAACCGGTGCGGGTTAGCGCCGTTGAGCACGCTTCTTACTGAGCGAGGATGTACTGCGGAGAAGCAACACCCACGGAAGCGAGCTCTGCGGGCTTTGCTTCTCCGCGGTGCACCGGTGCTCGGGAAGAAGCGCACTTAACGGAATAACCCACCGCCGTCAGCACTTGGGGTAAAGTAGGAATGTCGCAGTTGCGTGCTCGAGAGAACAGCACACCTTCAAAGCGGGATGGTGCACCCCCCCCCCCCCCCCCCCCCCCCTGGTGTATTTACAACGAAACGG